TATCTTGTTCAAATTTTCAACTCGCGTAACAAATGGTAATTTTTATTTCTCTCGTGCTTATATTAATGCTTTACCACTGTCTTATATCAATGCTCGCACGCGTGCTTTTATTTATAAATATTAACTGTAACTTAATTATGGAAAGTTCTGAAACTTCGGATGGCGATAGATAAGGAGTTGGAATATTAAGAGTTTGTAAAATAAAGTTTTGAGTTGTATGTGGCAAGAGTTGATGACATTTTTTATTTCCGTGTTAAAACAGTCAATAAATACTTTCATTCGTCCATGCAAGTTCAAATACATTTTATTAAACTTGTAGTGGATGGCACTTGACGTTAATACAGTTTTTTCAAATATTAATTCATTTATTAAATTTTTAAATTTCTAACGGGCTGCCGATTGAGTTTAAGGAACACTTTTATTTCTAATGGGCTTGGAGCTTTACCATTGCAGACCTAGTACATTCCCCCGAAAGCTGGTATCTCTTTAGGGCGGTGCCATTTAGGTGATACCAATCCCCGCAGGTAATATTGACAGTTTCCTCCTAGGAGGCACCCGAGTTCCAGTTTAAAGCGAACTAATTAGATTTACCTTGCCTAGACAATCCAAGCCAAACAAACAGTCTAGGACCTTTAGATGCCGTATAATCATACGACAGTGCCGCTGTCGATTTCTGCATCAGCGAAAATCCACCCGACTTGGGCCGGTGTAGAACCCACAACTTTGGGTGCAGAAGGCCAGCGACAAACCACAAATCATCACGCCACCAGTCGGCCTGTATTAGTTAAACTTAATTAATGAATAAATAGTAACAAAAAATAATAGTCCTGCACCATATATAAAAAGGAAAATCGCTCGTTGTCTTCCTGTTGCACAATGGGGTAGCGCGTTGGATTTCTAATCCAAAGATCGTGGGTTCGAATCCTACCTAAGATGTTCTGATTCTTGAGAAGGCTATTTATTAATGAATAATTAGTAACATACAAAAATAATAGTCCTGCACCACTTATGTAGAAAGGAAAATCGAATTCAATTTTGCCACTTAATATTGTGATACTGTCACATTGTGATGTTCTCCCCTTGAAGTACATCTCTCGAAGCATCAGCGTGAGCTAGAGGTGGAGAGAGATTAGCGAAAGAAACTAGGATCAAACATTATCTTAATATGACTTTTATTCAGATATTCAACTTAAACCTTTAACAAATTCAATTATAATAATTACTATGAGAGAATCTACGATGACGCAATACGCAACACACCATATATATATATATATATATATATATATATATATATATATATATATATATTTATAATAAGACCTAATCCAATTCAAACCAATCTCAATAAGCGAACCGCCTAATCCTGATTCTGCTATTAAGTATTCAATCCTACCTTATTATATATTGTAGTAGCTCTTGTCTTTATTCGCAATGGGATGCAGCTGTACGCAGTACGGCTTCCTTCTAATCGAGTACCAATATATGTATCCACGTCACGCAGAACTTATTCAAACTTGAAACACGAACTGTAATAATCATCAACTGCCACAACGCACATCAATTGTCTAACATTCCTTTACATTGCCATCCCAAGCTTACTCAAAAGATCCAATATTTAAAGTCCGTTTATTTGTATCACTTATTCACATTTAATTTCTTGGATTTGCTGGAAAAGAGCTGCCATTAATCTCCTGGCTCAAAGAACCCAAAGGACTTTAGCTAAAAAGAAAAGACGCGTAAGACGTCACAAGATGTATATACATATTTATAGTAATTGTAATTATTTAATAAAAGTAGTTAAAAATAAAATTTTTCTTTGTTGACCTAAATAGAATGTGACTTAATGTTTTTTATATATTACAGAAGTGTTTGACAAGAACATATTATTTTTCCGAATACGGAAACTGTTACATACCTCCTTCTTATATGCTTTTAAATTTCCATCCACCAAAAAATACCTTAGAAATATTTAGAGTATTTTCAATAACTTTACATGTAACTTTATAAAAGTACAAAAATTCACATGCTTTAAAATCAGGAAAGACCAATTTTTTCCAACGTGGATTTCATCTATTTTAGAACATTTCCAGAAACAAAACACCATGAGACATATTGAAAAGAACCTCCACCCAAAAAAAGAAAAGTCTCATTACTTTTCAGAACCCTCGTATTTCCTTTCTTGTATTAAATCCTGAAGTTGCGGGGAAAACTTACACTGGATCAGTCCTCCTTTTGTGCAGGATATCAAAGGATTGAACTCGAATTCAACTTTGTCGGGTTCCGCTATGATGTAGAGTCCAAAAGACCGGTTCCGGTTCCCGGTGAAGTGAAAAAGAATAGAATCCTTCTTTCGATTTCACGAAAAATGCATTCTGTTGAAGAGAAGAAACACAATGAATGCCATGAAAAATTCAGGTTTTCGCATGAAATATTCAAATTTTTCAGCTCTTAGTTTTTTTATGAAACACATGTTAGATGTCCAGTATTGTAATGCATGTTGGGGTTCTAGAAGTACACACACACACACACACACACACACACACACACACACACACACACACACACACACACAACAGCCACACACACACAACACACACACACACACACACACACACACACACACACACACACACACACACACACACACAAAATTCTTTAAATATATTTTTGATATGAAGGAATGATTCTGAGGGTCACGTATTGTGTATGTGTGAATGACAATGGTTGCACAAGAGCATTGAATATTTGATGGAATTGTTCGTATGGAATCTCTCTTTATTTTCTGCATTAATATCAATATTGAATATCATTCAATTACCGGTATTTATTCGAATCTAAGTCGCATCATTTTCCCTAGTGTCAATGCGACTGAAAGTCGGGTGCGGCTTTGAATTGAAGGCAAAACATCTGTTCGATGGGACATTGAGTTTTAACACCATTATAAAAGAGAAAATGCAAACCATCCATTCTGGGATTCGTCCGGAAACCGTCGATGATTTATCCCATTCTGTAGTTTATCTCCAGTATTCAATCTATCCTAAACATCGTTGTCGCACGTATTAGAAATTTTTGTTTTGTATACGCTGTCTTTGATCTCCTAAACTTTAAAGCTATCGGTTAACAACATCAAGACCAGTTTCAATGACGCAAAATAAAAAATGAAGGCAGAAAAAAAAAAAAATGGAAACAGAGTAGCTGCCACTGAACATTTGACACGAATGAAACAAGTATACGTCGATGGCTACAGCAAAATGATATAATTTTTTGTTTTATGAGAGTTCCACGGTCATTAATAATTCTTTACATTCTTCTAAAGGGTGTTTTTAGAGGTACAGAACTTTAAATTAGATTAAAACAACGATGTATTATTCGATTGACATGAATTTTTTTTATTCGAAAGATAATCTTGTGGCATTACATTTTAAATATGATTTCTGGCATATGCCTGCCACGGCTGGCTCGGATGTAGTCCAATCTGGACGTCCAATTATCGATGACTTTTTCAACATTTGTAATGTATACGGCAATAACACGGCGAATGTTGTCTTCCAAATGGTCAAGCGTTTGTGGCTTATCCGCATAGACCAATGACTTTACATAGCCCCACAAAAAAAAGTCTAGCGGAGTTTAATGACAAGATCTTGGAGGCCAATTCACAGGTGCAAAACGTGAAATTAGGCGGTCACCAAACGTGTCTTTCAATAAATCGATTGTGGCACGAGCTGTGTGATAGGTTGCACCGTCTTGTTGGAACCACAGCTCTTGGACATCATGATTGTTCAATTCAGGAATGAAAAGTTAGTAATCATGGCTCTATTCCGATCACCATTGACTGTAACGTTGTGGTCTTCATCGGTTTTGAAGAAGGATTCCACCAGCCCATAAAGAAAACTAAACAGTCAGTTTTTTCTGGATGTAACGGTGTTTCGACATACACTTGTGGATTAGCTTCACCAAATGTGGTAGTTTTGTTTGTTGACGTAGCCATTCAACCAGAAGTGCGCTCATCGCCTAAAAACAAAACGCTTATGAAAAATCGGGAATAACGGCACCGTTTTTGGCCCATCCGACGAATCTACGCCTTGCTTGATCATATTTAAAATGTAATGCCACAAGATTATCTTTCGAATAAAAAAAAAAAAAAAAAATTCATGTCAATCGAATAATACATCGTTGTTTTATTGCAATTTTAAAGTTCTATACCTCAAAAACACCCTTTATAATATTCCTTTAAATAATATATTCCCTTTTGTTGCATAGCAAATGCATTGGATGGCATAGAAGAATGATGACAGTGTGGGAAAATTGTACGCCGACATCAAATACACCACTGAGTAGTTAAATCTTTTTAAATTTCTAGACCCTGAGAACATTTTATACATTTATTTTATTATTATTTTGTTTCAAAAACGAGTAGAGAATTGATATGTGGCTTAGAATCAATAGCACATTTTTCAAAGAAACATTTTGAGAATTCGAGGTGAGGCTTAGAATCGATAACAATGGCTTAGATTCGAGTAAATACGGCATATTTTTGTAAAACTTCGAGCATTTCTCCACTAAAATTACTTCATTTTCTTATCAAGGTAACGAGAATGATTGCACAATGAATAATGGTTATCAATGGAGATTTACGTATTAACCACTTGCCAGTTTTGAACGTACACCGTACGTTCACTAGTTTTTTCCAATTCTTGATTTGCCCGTACGTCATACGCGTTCAGATTTATTTCTCCGATTTCATTTCTGCTTTGCTCCATATTTTCATCTCTAGTAATTCTAAAGTATAATTGGAAGAATTTGTCAATGGATGGCGATAGTTGCCCACTGTATTGAGTTGAAAACCAGTTTTAAGTGGTTTGTGAGTGGTTTTGGGATGGAATATTAGATAGGCGGGAAAATTTATTCACATCATTAGCTAGCGTTTTTGTGAGCGTGATTCTGAAAGACTTTTGCACTGTGTATAGACTATAATATTGGAATTTATATCCTGCAATAATGGATGAATAGGAAATAATTCCGATTAATGATTATGATTCGGATCTTGAATCTGAAACAGATTCTAAAAATATCTATAAACGATTTGGGAAGTATTGACAGTTTCTCAGACGATTTTGACTTTGATATTAGTGACGATGAAAACGATGACCTTAGCCAAGCAAGAAACTTTTATGAAATCGATTGTAATAATCCTTCTGCCCCTCCTCGAGATTTGCATTCACTAACATACGCCTGAAATTTATAGATTTTGATGCAAGCTCTGGTAAAATGCAATATTATGAAGCATTGATAGATAATAATTTGATTGTTCACGGAAACAATCATTATGCTGAACAAACTATGGGAGTAGCATTCCTCGCAAGCACTCCAGAAGTAAAAAATGGGAGCCAACATCAAAAGAAGAAATGCCTGTTTTTATAGCCTCCAAGGTATTCTTCAAGGCTGCACGTCAAAACCAACAAATGAACAATATTGGAGCAAAAAGACATTCCCATATCGACTCCCCTTTTCTCCAAAGTCATGTCCTATCGGCGTTTCAATCTAATTTTACTGTTTCTTGCATTTTTCCGATAATGAAACATTTGTTACTGAAACACATGAGTGCCCCAAATTATCAAAAAATTTGGCCAGTACTAAAATATTTGACCATTCGTTCAAGAAGTAGTTACACCCGATAGAGATGTTACTATTTGATGAAAGTCTGATGTTATTCAAAGAAAGGCTTACGGTTTGGCAAATATCGCTCTGAAACGGTCACGATTTGGAATAATAAAAAGTTATATGCTGTGTGAATCCAAATAAGGGTATGTGTGGTCATTATGTGATTATATACACTGGAAAAGGTACTCTATTTGATGAAAAATAGAGAATAGCATATGTATGGCTCACAAGTTGTAATGACTCTCATGGAACCCTCAAATAAGAGGGACATT